ATATTATAAATATTAGTATGCGCATCTACAATGGCTTTCTCGTTTCAACTGTGTCAAAAATCACACGTTCGGATAATTTGGTATTTATTTAGTAATTTATTTGTGTAGCATTGATTAAATTATTTGTTTTACCGTCTGTTGGTGCAATTTTGGCGAGCTTTTATCGACAATTTTTAATATTCTATGGTTTTTTTCAATTCTTTTCCACCGTTTCTTCCATTTTCCTATGTCGTCAATTTCATGGAAAATTTACGTTACGAGTCTGCTGATCGTTACTTGCCTTCACGTTTTAAATTCGTTGTTACTGTATCACGCCAGTTTCGGTGCAACACGACCTCTTTCAAAGGTATTCTTACCTATCAGCTGACCTGTTATTACCTGCTATAACACTTGTTTAGCTGTTTTCCAACTTCGACAGAACATTTTGACAAAAAGCTTTTTCCACCGTTGTTGCAAGGAACGTAGCTTAAAAATATCCACTATTTTTTAGCGCTTGACCTAACTTTAGCAGCGGACAACAAGTTTTGATCCTTAAGTCTAACTTTTACAAGCATAATAAATTTTGTATCATTATGTTGTTACATTTTCATCGAAAAGCAACCTTCTATCAGTTTTTCTACAAGTTCTCAATAACGCGATCACTGCAATGTGAACGACCGCCGACTGCTGTTTGTGTTAGCTAAGAGAGTAGTTGTTGGCCCTACAGGCGTTACGGCTGTGGTCGTTCGCGTCGCTGATGTTATTGGGGTAGTTGACGCGCCGGATGTCGCCTGCAGTTGACGTGGATTTGAGGGACACGCGGGCGGTGACGGTGATGGTGGTGGTCTCTGACCTTCCTGAAGGATTCCCTTGCGGTTCGGATAGGTGAGCTCACGGATTCCGTCGAAGCATGGTACGAACAGGGCTGCAAGTGCCGACCTTGCATGATTCATATCGGTTACTACGAACCATTCGTCACTGGTCGAATTGTAGCATTCGCATAATCTCGTCGTTTCCTCACCTGTGTACCCGCCGAAAACATAGATTAGGTCTTCGCAAACTACCGCTGCGAAGTTGCTTCTGGCTGTTAACATACTTGCGATCGGGGACCAGCTATCACGCACAGGGTCGTACACCTCGCACGACCTGAGCCGGCCATTGCCGCTGGTAGAACCGCCGAGGGCGTAAATTTTCCCTCGTAACGTGACTGCACTCACGCCCGAACGTAGGCTACTCATAGGAGCAACAGCTGCCCATGTGTCAGTTTTGGGATTATATCGCTCGACAGTGCGAATGCATCGTCTGCCTGTGAAACCCCCGATAGCATATATCATCCCGTTGAGGACGGTGCAGGCCGCGTCACTGCGCTGGTACTCCATTGGTCGTATGAAGGACCACTTCGAAAATAACATCAGTAGTAGAACCACATAAAATTCTGAATTATGGTTAAAGATACCGCTATTGAAATCTTAAAACAGGATTACATAAGATTGCGCAATTGTTTATAAGCGCCCTTAACCGCTTTGTTGGTTCACCTCGTTCAGATAAATAACCTCAAAAGAGCTGGAACTGTTTCAAAGTAGTAACCAGTACAAGCTAACACAAAGCGTAGGAAACGTCTCTCAAACAGAACTAAATTTTAAATACAACTACAGTACAACGTACCTGATTCGAATCGAGATCTAGCGCCTCGGCCGTATTTAAACGGAAGCGACCATTATAACCACCGATAGCGTAGATCTTTCTACCGACAACTGCTACACTCACATAGCAACGCTCGACGTTCATTGGCGTCACGTGTGACCACGACTTCGTTGCGAGATTGTACTTCCGACAGTGCTTATGGTAATTAATATCTCCGTGAAATCCTCCAACGACAAACACGTCGCCGTCAACAATGGCCATCTTGTGGTACGCCCGCATCTCTTCTACGTCAGCAAACTGAGCTAATCAAATCATTCAACAAAATCACAATGCCGTGTCATCACATACTGTCTCGATATCCGCATGGTGGAGGCAACAACCATATCAGTATCACCGTCAGACAATCAACACTGAGTTTCTGTAGCATGAAGTTAGAAGGTACAAGAGAAGCCGAACTCAGTCTAAGTTACTCGAGTATGTCAAACGTAGTTAGCCAACTGTGCAACTTGCGCTGTCAATTGCCTGGCGATACTTACGAAATAGCGTATGTCGGTCAGCGCAGGGGTCGTAAACTTCAAAGACGTTTGATGGCGCCTGAAGCCACCCACCTAATAGAAGGATCACTCCATGAGGTTCACGTGGAATTGAAGTCTTCTCGAGTTCACCGCTCAACTCCGCTTTGACTGCAGCCTTTGTGTACATCGCACGGCCGACAGATATCATATATGAAGAGCATTGAGGATCTTCGGTTAGGAGGGAGCTTGATGTCAGCATCTTACGAAGCTGGTTTTCCTCAAGCAGATACACCCGTATAGCTTTCAGCAGTGGAAACAGATGTCGTTGGCGATCTTCTAGATCGTGCTCAATCCAACGGAGGCAGATCGACCAGAGTTTCGCCTCATCACTTATGTTTAGCTGGTCGTGATTAACAAATCCGGAGAATTCTTCAAGCGTCATGTCGAGAACCTCGTCAGCTTCCGCCAGCTGTTCGAAGTCCTCAAGTATTCGATGGTGCAGTTTGTTGGCCACCTCGTTCATCATGTACAGTGTTGCAAGTCGCCATAACGAAATCACGTTTGGTCCTTGTGAGTTCTCTTTCATAAATCTGTGACACGCTGAAAAGAAACCCATTGGCAACATGAAGGCCTGAAGCGTCCTGGGCCAAGATGTCATTAAACGAAACTTGTCCTAATATTCTAAGATTCTGCTGTAGCTTATGGTCAAATATCTCAAGCTGCAAGAAAACTGCCTTCTTTCTCAACAAAGGGACTCTATACCACAATTGTCGCAGCTGCACTCCAACCGTTGGGTTTAGATTTTGGAGAGCACTGATCGGCTGCTCTTGAAGCGTAAGTTGCTGCGCTTTTCAAATCACTTGGAAGTAGCGAAAAGTCGAAAAAAAGGCTAGGCACATGTATACCGAGTGATTACTAGTTAGTTCTTGGAAATAAGGCCACAATTTTTGTCTATGTATTAAGCGTTCACCTTCAATAAGTGCGTCCATTCCAAGAAAGTCGGCTGTTTCGACGACATCCTGTATATTGTCAAATGTGAGCTCGCATTCGCCACTATAAGCGAAATCAACAGCCATTTGTAGCTGATTTGCTTTGAGCATGGGTACGCTTAATGTGCTGTAAGATTGAAAACCTTCTCTCAGTAGTACAACACAAATAGAAACGTAAGAGCTTTATGAATCAACTAATATTCTTGAGAGATTTATATAACGAAGGACGCCTATACAATGGCCAATTACCAACAAGTAATACCTGTCCTTTTTTCTATCTTAAGGTTAACAAACGGTTCTAATATAATAATTCAAAATATTCTCCTCTATGCTACAGGATGCCACAGACCCAGTCGCTAATAATGTGTTTTATTGAAAAACTATTTGACATAAGATTACTTTGACGTGACGAAGAAATTTGCCCTTGTAATGGCGTAGGAAGCAACATATATGTGTTGGCAGTGTGTTGCAAGATGGGCCAATGAACGCCTCCATTTTTTCTAGTATTGAAAAAAAGCACTAGGATATATCCCGTCAACATGGTACCGTTCGGAGGATTTGTCAAGCTCCTTCGGCCGTTAACGAACAAGTATTTTGTCAAATGGGCGTACCAGGATCTTTGACTATTGACGACCAATAGAGTATATCATCTAAATTTACCATTTTGACTACTAATAGTCTGGCGGGCTTGAGGCCAAGAGGCAATTGACACTGCGTCGTTAAAGGAGGGATCTTTGCCCCTTTTTTTGTTGCTGCCGCAGCCAAGTGCCTAAGCTTATCGGTCAACGGAACATATCGAAATGTCATGTTCAGTCAGGAGCTAACCTCACGAGTGTGGCCATCTCGAATTCGCAATAAGTGTATGGTCATCGTTTAAAACTTCAAGGTTTCATAGGTACTATTTTGAGGCTACGTAAAAGATCAAAGGAAATCTGTCTGATTCACAAACACATTGTCTTTTTCCATTTATCGCTCGCGTATCCATTATATATACTCCCTTACTTCCGAATAGTACCCGGGCCATGTGCGGCGCCGAATGTAAAATAGGCCGCTCTAAAGTACTCCGACGCGGTCGAAAGTGGCACACGATGAACGTTGATTTTCGTGCCGTCGTCACAGACGATTTCGGTGTCAGGTGGATAATTTCGCACATATTCAAAATTTTTCTTTCTTGGTACGGCTGTGTTTATGGCGACAGAGAATGATTCTGTGGGACATTGTTTCGTGATCACCATCGGACGGTCACGAAACAATTTCACTGCGACAGGGTAGATGGCGGGCGAATAGTTGGTACAGGTTTTTTGTCATTCAACGAACTGACTTCGTTTTTTTCCACAGATTAGGTCACGCAGAACATCGGATATCTAATAGATATAGATGCGCAGTGTTTGAGAAGGGACTACTACTAGCTCGAATTGATCGCTGGCCGTTTTCCTGATACCGCCGAAGGGGATTTGTAGGGTGGCGAGCTCGAATGGACGAAATTAATTCACTTACAGGGAGCAGAACAAAGCAATTTTCGGCTGAGCTACTGCAATAGGCGGTAGCCTTTTCGAAGAAGGCCGAGTGTTTTATACCTAATGATTTCCCCAATAGTCAGGCTGAGGAAAATTTAGATCTGGAAGCTATGACGCAGCCGAAGCACATGACCGATACATAAGGGAAGTACCAAGAATAAAATGGTAACACTTATGGTAAAACGAGAGCGCAGGCTGGACCGCTAATTTAAGCGTTAGCTTTTTCTGCAGCCGCTGCCGGAGAGCTGAATATGTTGCCTAGCTAAGACTGTAGCCGGATCGCGATAGTAGATCTAGTGTCTTAGGTTTCATACTAACGAAAAAAAATTATAGCCTCTATTATTGGACCAAAAGCACCGTGTCCCACATAGCAAATAGAGGGAAATTTTGAGAAGTTATTAATTATATATTCGCTTCGAAATTACTTCAATTATATCTCAATTGTGGTCCGAAAATAACATTATCATGCGTAACAGAATTCGCTAGATTAGTCTCATACAGTAAAGGTATTCAGTAGACACAGTGTAAACGTACAATTAATCACAAAATGTGAAGAATTCTAATTTTTTTTTTTGGGACACATCGAAACTATTATTAAATATGGTTCTCCTAACACTCAGAATAAATTTATTTACTCAATTTTTTTTTGCAAATTATTTTTTTTATTAGTTGTTTTATATCGGACGGGCTAGTGCGAGTGTTTCCGACCGTTCACGAACGCTTTCTGAAAATGTACCTAGTTGTTTTTTTCTTCGCTCGAACGTTTTCCTCCTTCACGGATACCTAAATAAAACACGACCAATCAAATATATAGATTGCACACATATAAGCAAAGGTCATTATTATCGCGGTCATCACGATAGATAATTGTTCATGGCAGGCGTGCCCAATATTGGCATGTTCGAATTTTTTAGCTTTGCTCAGCTCAATTAGTCTTGTGCTATTAACAGAAGTGTTCTTCTGTCAATGAACAGAAGATCAAATAAGAATCGTTCGCTCTGGGCATTGAGCGTCATGAAGTTAATTCTATTTAAGAGTAAAACTACCAAAAGCAAGCTATTAGACATATGCTTGTTTCGATGAGCGCTTTCATTAAACTCTGCCGTAGAGCTCGTACATTGCACGAATCACTAACAAAATTCCCAGGCAAGGGCTCCACTCGTTTAGGCAGGCTTCTTCCCAGCTCGAAACGAAATTGGCTTTTTCGCAGAACGTATTTGAGTCGTCAGTGCAGTGGCAAGTTCTTTGCCTCAATTAAAATTTGGAACACTTGGTAAGAAGATAAAGTTTAGGTCCGAAACTGGCCACAGGCAGGTACTCTCGTCGTTTCGTACTGCTGGAAGGTCCTCCAGCCATCCCAAGCAGTAATGCTTAGTCGTGTCGTGCGTAAAACTTGAAACATGTAGGTTCGCACAGTTAAAGTGGCGGGCATCATTTCGCCTTTTTTTCTTAGACTTCGAATTTGTTAAGCTACGGTTAAGGCATCTCGTGTCTTCGCCACAATCTTCAGTTATTCCGAGCGTGCTAGTAGAAGAAAAGCCTCTCAATTCCTTCTAAGAAGTACGCCATGTGCCTACACGTTAATTCGAACGGGTAGAAATCCGTCTCAAACCCATACAGGTTTGTCACCAGAATTTGCGCAAAACCTACGCTCTGCTCAGCTAAGATATCGGTTGCCCAATAGAGCTACATTTGCTACAGAGCGGCCAGCATTTCAAGCATGTCGAGGGGACCGGAACGGGAGGATGCTTTGCTAAGCAACGTAGACCCTGCCAAAGCTCACATCACGCCGCCGGCCTGTGCGAAACAAAGATGGACGCAGTAGCTGGCTTCTCGTGCGCGACTTCTGTGCGACTTCGTTTGATTTCTTGCTATCAACCACAATTACTATCGCCGGTGCTATTGCCAGCACCGGCTGTTCCAATAGCGCCCCGAGCTGATACTCTAGCCAATGTCTCGTTACGGTGCTATGCGCACGCGGCGGACGCTTTCAAGCAGAACTGGATCGCTTTTTACGTTCGGGTGCGTCCAGCCAGAAACATTGATATCACCGTCGCTGGGGAGCTTAACCGTTTTCGCTGGGACCAGGCTAAGCAGACCAGGCGCCGAGGTCGAGTTTTGGGCAGCTACGTTGGATGACGGTGACTCGATGGGACATACGCTGCCGCTCAATCCGGGAATCCTCACAGTTTCGAGCTGAGGGTCCGAAGGGCCTACAACAGCCAAAAGTGCTGCAATCAGATTGGTCAAATAGGAATAGAGGACAGTGCGATGTGAAGCGGACCTGCTCAGCAGTACTGAATAGCATTGACTGTTATCAGGACGACGTCTATATTTGCCACGGACGTCCTGCTTGCGACACAGCGACGAATCTGGACTCTACGCGAGGGTACCAAGAAAAGGTTGTCCCGAGGATGGCAGCTTTGCAGTCGACGAACTGATAACTTATAGCTCGCCTACCCGGTTCCATTGATAGTTAGCAGTTATTCACTGATTTTGCCGTGCCTTTTTTTACCGCTAGCTGATCGCTCGTCGAGTGTATACATTCCAGCGGGAAACAGAAAGCCCATATTTCATTGGCTGCCCATTTGGAAAATGGTTGCAATGAAATCTAATAAATACAACGGCGGGTGAGAAAAAAAATACACCGGATACAACAAGGCTGCTTGTACGAGATGATAATGGCAAGACAACGATTTCAGAGGCTGCCAACGGCAGTCAATGAGGCGTGCGAAGTATGCGAGCGGCTTACTATGTGTGAGTAAGTATTTTCAGGCACAAGATCCACCAAAGTTTCTTCATCGCCCTGCATTCTCGTAGCCTGAGGCACAATCCTCTCTATAGCCTATTTCCGCTACCTTGTACAGACACAGGACTCTACTGCGATTAACACATCTGTCTATGTGTCCCTACCAAGGTGGCCTGTTCATATTTCAAAACGTCGCTGTATTCCAGCTGCAAAGGATACTATAATACGGCATTTTAAGAATTCGAGGACGCGGAGAACAGCAAAACGCCTGGAAACACATAATGTCAACAGCGAAGAATTGCACACTGTTAGACGCTTTTAGTTCGTCACATAGGCTTTGTTCCTCACTAGCACGGCAAGGCAATTCGACCTGACTGGGTGCATATGTTTTACTTGGGGGAGCGTATGCTGGGGCACGTCAAGCACTCTGCATTTTGCGAAATGGGAGTTTACCAGACAAGGCATATGCTGCATCGCGTTGCGTTACATTGTTGTAGCAAGCAGAGCACTAACTTGAGTTAGTGGGCTCTAGAGGACTTTTCTTCCTTCGTGTTTAAGAACTGTGTTTAGAACTGTCTTTGTTGATATAGCCCTGGCAGCGCAAAATAGCAGTTTTGGTTTATAAAATTTGTGGGGTTATTCACCTCACGGTTACATGCTGATGTTTTGTGACGGCTGCGTATATCTTGTGACCTGCTTTCATTGATATCGAAGTTCCAAACGATGACTATACTGCATCTTTGTGAATTTCAGTTTTACAAGTAGATATACGCTTCTTATTCGCTGAGACAGCCAAGTGGTTGGTATTAGCTAAAACAGCTATTTTTCTGTTTGCCCGATGATTCTTCGAGACTTATGTCATGCGCCATTCGAGGTAACCAGAACGCATAGCCACGATGAAACAGTTTTGCTTCTATAGTGTCTCTGATGGTATCGTTTAATGTTTGAACATTACAGCATGCTATCAGAGAAGGGCGTCATCTAAGTATCGGAGAACGCATCGAGAAATACTCTGAAGTAAAGGAGAATTTCGACATCAGCCATAAGAGCTGAAACTACCAGTTAGAATTTTCTCTGTCGAATCGCGGAACGATATCGAAATCTATGATTCGCAGCTTCGTTCCTATAGAACTGCCGATAGTACTCGTATCTCGTGAAGTCATCAAAGCTAAACTGAGAAATGGATGCACCTCGGTGACGTAAGAATACTTGGTAGGAAAGCTTCTTTAAAATCTCTATGATCCAACGGGATTTGTCGTTTTTCTCTTTGCCTTCCTTCTTCCGTTAACATTGCGTGCCTTAACTGATCGGTCACGCGATACAGTTGACTTGCAAGTCTGGAACCGTTCAGACGACATCACGTCCTATTGCTCCACACTAACCATGGGGCTGTAATGGCTAAGATCGCATTGGCTATGCTAAAGCAATAGAGGCTGATTAATTACAGCAAGTCTTTAGCAAGTCTGCTCCCACCCCACTAGATGAAGCCTTAGATTTGAGCTCGGGACGGCTCGGACCGACTGGCTAGCCAGTTGCTTCCCTTCGGCTACTTGTTCTCAGATTTCCTTCATTACTGGCAGAGTACTATATATGGGATTCAGATACTATAAGCACACTGCGCCCAATAAGACACACAGCGTTGCACTGACAGCCATAGCAATAGCTAGCGACAAATTTGTCCTCTCGAGCTACAACACTACAGTGAGCAAACGGGGTAAAGAGGACTACAACTGCTCGTACTGGCCCTTGTAGCATCGCGCATGGGGTCCAAGCCCTTCCTTCTTTGCATTTACTGGGGTGCGATGCGATGTGATCTGATCCGTGTTTGCTCCTTTCTCTACATACTGCTTCCACTCGCCTTCTAGTTCTTACTCTGCCGAATAAGCATCAACCAGATTTACCAATTTCAAGATCCCACTACAATAAAGAAACGATAGCAACATCTTAGCTGCTGGGTGGAGTTTTCTGAGTTGAGCCGTTGGCAGTTAGAAGGCGAACGGGGTAAACGATATCCCCACGCATTCGGAGCTGACAGGAGACCCAAGGTAGGAGGTTTGCGGGAGACTCCGTTGAATGGGGTAAGGAGCTGTTTTCTGTGAGTAGCAATGAGGCTAGATACGGGCGCGTAAAGATATTGGTTAGACCCACGAAAAGAGTTCAATGGGACTGGTACAGATTAGATGCGCATGGGTGAGTTTGTGGTTGAAGCGATGACCTCGCTGGTTACTTGTCCAGGATTCGCAGGCATGAAGCTCTAGTGGAGAAGAAACTTGCGAACCCTTCCCCCATGTTCGTCGGGCTTGATCAGTTACCAGTAACATCGTCTACCCGCAAAAGTGACAGTGGCGCCAACTAGTTAAGGAGGGCAATCGCGGGGACGACGTGG